CATGAGCATAGAGGGGGTGGGCTAAGTTGAAAACGTTTGAGAAACACTGAAGTACAAGGGGCGGCTAGGAGTGCCCATGAATCAACACCCCTTTTGTTAAGGACTGTTTCCTGCTACCTGACCAAGGTAGTCTCCTATAAATAGTTTATTTGCTGTTGCAGCTTATAAAATTCAACACATTGACCAGTCACTTCTACTGGAGATCACCAGATTTGACTGTTTTAAACTAGCAGGTAGACTTTTCTTGCTCTCCTCCATTTTTATGTCTAATGAGTTTTATGTGCAATTACCTTAAACGGACCTGTCCTAATCAAGGAAAGACACTGTGGTTAGATGGCAAGGTTTGCATTCTGATCTGTCTAAATGTAGGGTGCTGACAGTAAATCAGACTACTGGTCTATCTAGGACTGTGTCGTCTGCTGTAACTAGGAGCAACTCTTCAAGGTCTTGGGGTGAGATCCTTCCCAGTACTTCCGCCTTCTGTAACTGGCGTTAATTCAGTTTTTCAGTGGAAGGGTAGAATTCTGTGTTTCCTGAAATGCTGCTCCTAGTTGACCCTTGGGAACAGCTTGGGGAATGGAGTGGTGGTCTGCAGTGGGAAGGGGAAACCAGCTAAAATCTCCCTCTCTCCATTTGTGGAAAACAGCCTGTGGATTCAGCCCTACGTTTAGCTCCTGTGATTTCTCCTATCATCTAAACAGATGATTAAATTCAGGGCATAGTCGTTTACTATGATGATAGGCTTCTTTGATTTTTCACATCTTCTGCTGTTAGGGAAGCAATTTCTGCACATTTTAAGGGTAATTTCCACAGGCGACATTGTCTAGCTTGTTAAGTTCTCCTTGGGTATGACCAGAGCATATGCAATTATGTCACATAGAAAATATCAGCATGTGGCAATTGGCTCACACGATGCTGCTCACTGTGCAGATTGCTATATGTAAGTGCTAAGCCATTAGCTTCCCATTGCATCTGTTTAACTTCCTGGATAAATGTAGTTGATGTCCCGGGAGCTAAACATGCACAACTGTCTGGATTACATGCTGTAAGCATTCAAAAAGTCCCCCGATGCTTATAGCAGAATAACCTGGTTTAAGCTGTTTACCTGAATGGGTCTTCAGTATAGATTTCATTGACAGCTAGAAAATTTTCTTCTGAGTTAAAAGTTTAGGTCTAGGGCATTAATTGGTTTGGTTCCAATGACTGTGGTTTAATTTCATCATTTTGCCCTGGTTTGATGGTTTACTAACAATTTGCCAGGGTGATAGATATCTACACTCAAAAACATGTGAGAATGCTAGCTGTACTATATGTTTTAATAAAACAAATCTAATTTTGTGCCTGCAGCCTCAGAAGAGCTGACAATCGCTGGTATGACTTTCACTACTTTTGATCTAGGTGGACATGCCCAAGGTAAGTGATGTCAATGCATTGTAGGATTATTTTCCCCGATAAGATTTGGGTAAAACTAGCCTTTCCTTGCTGTGTACAAGGGGTCATTATATGGAAGCCCTACTAACCCTATATTAGGGATATATGTTTCACATGCTGGAAACCTTTCTACTCTGATAGTCATCGCTTGCATAGAAATACAAATTTCTCTGCTGCTTGTTTTTGTATGAACTGTATCATAATCTGAAGTGTGGGCTACGAGATTGGGTTAAAGGGTTGAAGGCAATTTAAATATGTCACCTTAAGTCAGGGGTCCACAACTATTTTGAGCTTGTGGGTATCTGTGGAACTCTGACACAGCATGGTGAGCACAGCCACAAAATGGCTGCCACAGGATGCAGAGGCAGACACAGAATAGCTGCTGCAACTTACCTTCAGTCACACAATGAAGATCCTCGTGCTGTGGTGGTGGCTTTTTAAAAATCAGCACTGCCAGTCACATTAAATATTGAAGTCAGAAGTCTTGCTGGGCTAGGGTTGCCAGGTCAACTTACCTGGCCAGCGGGGGTCTCCCAATGTCCTTCCAAGAGACCAGAAGTGATGTTTGGTATTTTCCGGCCTATTTCCGGTTTCAGGCCTACTTCCGGTCTGGGGTGACACTCTAGTTTTGGGGTAAAACTCTATGGTAAATTCAGCTTCAAACCATAGAGTTTTGCCCAAAAACCAGAGCATCACCCGAAACTGTAAGCGGGCCCAAAACCGTCAATTGGGGCTGGATTTTTCCCCACCAGCCAGCTGGCTGGCAGCAGGTAAGAGCCTGCGAAAGCAGGGGTTCCTCCCACTCCCACTGGGGGGCTGGCAACCCTAAGCTGGCCAAAGCCCACCTAGCCTCCCCGCTTTCTAAAAAGGCTTGGTGGGTGCCAGGAAAAGTATTGGCTGGTGCCATGGTGCCCATGGGCACCACACTGGGGACTCCAGACTTAAGTGATATTTATCCCCCCCCCAAAAAAATGCAACACTTTATTTTCACAATGACCATATTGTACATATTTTGTACCCTTGTGTTGTTCTCTAATAGTGCAGTCCTAAGGAGAGCCAGTTTGGTGTAGTGGTTAAGAGCGCAGACTCTAAATTGGGAGAAATGGGTTTGATTCCCCACTCCTCCACTTGCACCTGCTGATGTGACCTTGGGTCAGTCATAAATTATTTCAGAGGTATCCTCTCAAGGGCAGTTCTCAAGAGAGTTCTCTTAGCCCCACCTACCTCACAGGGTATCTGTTGTGGGTAGGGGAAGGGAAAGATGAGACTCCTTTGGGTAGTGAAGGGTGGGGTACAAATCCAATCTCCTCGTCCTCCTCCTCCTCCTCCTCCTCCTCCCCCTGCTTCTAAGCCCATTGACTTCAATAGACTTAGAAGGATGTAATTGTGTTTAGGATTGCATTGTAGTTCTTTAGAGAGAGTAAAATTCCACATCTTCATTTGTTATTAACTGTTTTTAAGATTAAAGTGTAAATGCAAGGAAAGTTAATAAGCTGAGCATGTGTATAGATTGCAGTTAATGCATATATATGGGTTTACTGTGCTGTTTAACTTCACTAGGTTGAAGTGATCACTATTCTTTGCAAAAAAAAATCAGCTTGCATGGAAGAAATTTGGTGAATCAAAGATGATGTTTCCTAAGATGTACGAAATGCAGTGTTACTGCCTTAGGAGTGGTTCAGCTTTCTAGAGCAAGTGTACTATAAAATTAAATTAAACCTCTATGGCTCAGTTCGTACATGACATGACATGAAACCATGGTTTATTCTAAACTTTATATTTAGTTTAATCTAGGTTAGTTTATAAAATCAGGATTTGGCTTACAGGCGATCATTCAAATCTTTGTTTGCCTCAACAAATGCCTATTTCATTGCCTTCATTCTTTCACCTGCAAAGACCCAGCTGATATTCCAGCCTGCATTGCAATGAAGGTGGTGCAAGGAAGAAAGTCAGGATTAAGCCAGCGGGCCCATGTTCATACATCATGCCATACCATAGTTGAAATGACCTGTGGTTAATAAGCTTCTGGTTTTAGATCCTGGATTGACATATCGTAACTAATCATAATTAGAAGAGTGGCACACATTTGGATGACCATGCTATAGTTCCTTTAACTGAAAACAGCAACATAGTTTTGTGTTATGTGTGCTGAGACACTGTTTTTTAAGTCCATCCCTACATTTAGTAATTGTTTTTGTGTACTTTTAAAGAGTTGTAAGCTGTTTGCCCATTAATCAAATATAACACAACACTTAGAAATTATTTTGTGGATATTAAGATTTTATTCGCACAGTAAAAATAATACAGCTATTGATTTTAGGCCCAGTCCTATGAGCTCTCAAACAATAGAAAATGGGCTTTAGAAAAAGTGATGTAAAAAGGGCACACAAAGCTCTGTTGAAAGTTTCTGCTGCTGAATGAGATGCCATTAGCAACTGGAAATAAGATCCCGAAAGTAAAGGAATTTTGTCTTCGAGTTCATTTATGACTCTCTTTTCTTAGCTCGCAGAGTTTGGAAAAACTACTTGCCTGCCATCAATGGTATTGTCTTTCTGGTGGACTGTGCAGATCATGAAAGATTGGCTGAATCTAAGCAGGAACTTGATGTAAGTGTATAATGTATTTGATTTAATACACTTGCAGTATGCCCGTGATCAAAGTAGAGTGATCATTATTGTACTGCAGGGACCCTTGATGTGGCAGAGTTGGGGTAATGCATCTGTGTGCATATAAAGCATTGTGCTCCCACCTGTCTTGTACTTTTTCCCAGTCCTTGTCACTAGCAGATAGATAACCTTTGTCACTGACTAGGGATCCTAGGTTTTTCCCTCACTACAGCTGTGGCCTCGATCTGCCAGATACCAAAGTTTTCTTAAGAGAAGGCAGTGATTCCTGTCAATTTCCTTCTCCCACTCCAGCCCCCACTTTGTTTCCCACTTTGGGGGGGAGTTCAGTGGGCTGCAGCCAGGGTTGTTAATTGGCAGAAATTGCCACCACTGCCCTTAAGACCTTGTCAGTGTTCTATAATGCTATTGGCCATGCTACTTTTTACACTTTAGGGTGAAGTGCAGTAGTAGATGGGGACTTTGGAGTGTGTTTTTGTTGTTTTTTAAATATGTGAGCTACTTCCAACCCTGTCTTCTAGACTAGAGAATCTGTCATATCTTAACTGAGCAAACTTCCCATGGACTGGATTTTTGAGGCACAAGATCCTTTATCATTTGAGTTATCCCATACTTCAGACAGACATCAGATCTTGGAAACTAAGCAGGGTCAGTCTGTAGCTCTTTAGGGTGAAGTGCAGTAGTAGATGGGGACTTTGGAGTGTGTTTTTGTTGTTTTTTAAATCTGTGAGCTACTTCCAACCCTGTCTCCTAGACTAGAGAATCTGTCATATCTTAATTGAGCAAACTTCCAATGGACTGGATTTTTGAGGCACAAGCTCCTTTATCATTTGAGTTATCCCATACTTCAGACAGACATCAGATCTTGGAAACTAAGCAGGGTCAGCCCTGGCTAGTATTTGGATGGGTGACCTCCAAGGAATACTAGGGTTGTGATGCAGAGGCAGGCAATGGCAAAACCACCTCTGAATGTCTCTTGCCTTGAAAACCCCACTGGGGTTGCCATAAGTCAGCTGTGACTTGATGGCAAAAAAAAAAATTGGCAAGATAGGTGTAGCCTTGTGTTGTGTGAAGGATGAAAGTCAAAGAGAATTCATGCATGTTCTCAGACTTCTGTGCTTGTTGCTGGTAGAGTATAAGTTAGGATGTGGGGGTGATCTGTTCCTTTCCTACACGCAGCCAACGGTTCTTCCACCTGTTCTGTGTATGTACCAGTGGTACCCCTTGAAATACAGACAAAAGTAAAACATTGTGAAAAACAACAGACGATATTGCCTATAAAATAAATCCATAAATCATCCTGCTTTGCAATGTGTTTAAAAGAAAAGGAAAGACCATAGAGACTTAGTACACAATTACAGTGGGATTAATGTTGGCCAAAAAGTTAGGAGGAATAAGGATGCTCCAGCAATAGTGGACTGGAGTAGGAGAGCTTGGGGGTTGTCAATGATGAATGGATTTACTTAATTTTAAATCTCTATGGGAAGGGAAGGAGCTGCGGTGGCTCAAGTGGTTAAGACGCTGAACTGCAGGCTGGGGAAGACCACCACAACAGTATCTTGTATAAGAAAAGTACTATCCCTTTGACAACTGTTGGCATGAAAATAGGGTCCCAGCAAAACACTAGGCAGCAACTCTTCACATTGCTGCAGTGTGGTTCGAAGCTCATATTTGAGACTGGTTTGTATTTATTTATTTAGAAAATGTGTGTACTGCCTCTCCAGATCTGCTTGAGCCAGCTCACAAGTAAAATAGTAAAACAACGGCAACCAACACAATAAAAATAAGCCAATATAACAATAAAAACCGTTAGGGGCAGACTATAAAACAATTTTAAAAAGACTGACCCCTATAGTTAAAAGCTTGGGTAAAAAGAAATGTTTTAGTTTGGCATCTAAATGAAAGTATAATAGGCAACAGGAAAGCCTCAAGAGGGGGAAGGGTATGCCAAAGGTGCCACCATTGAAAAAGCCCTGTGCAGATGATGGCACAGAGAGCAGAGCTTGAGAAAAGATTTTTTGTTTGTCTTTTAACTGTGTTTTTCTGTTCTCCAGACTAGGAGGTCTTTCATAGTTATTCAGATCTATAGATGGTTCATTTGTTCATTGGGAAGAAAAAAGTTAAAACTTTTGAGACCTCTAACAATGTTTAAAATGTGTGTTCAGCTGTCAGAACACTAGATCTGCTTGATGTGGATGGAAGTGTTTGCATGTGATCCATTAATGCTAAAATGCAAATATTTAATTATCATTGAATCCAAAGTATAATTGTATATGTATCTTTCTGTTCATATGCCAGACGCTTTCTTTGCTGTTTCTGCCGAGGACTTCTTTCTATTGCTTTACATTTTGGTAACATTTGTCTGATGTTCTATGTAGCTGTACAAAACCTGAAATTAGTTTCTTCTTCACAGGCACTAATGACAGATGAAACTGTTGCTAATGTGCCTATTCTTATTCTTGGAAACAAGATTGACCGGCCAGAAGCCATCAGTGAAGAGAGGTTACGAGAGATGTTTGGTTTGTACGGCCAGACAACAGGAAAGGTACTAATATTTCCCCATTTCACAGTAAAATGTGTAGGTTGGTATTTTCTTCCTCACTGCAGTTTTCCTGAGAACTTCTTTGCTTCTAGATTTACATATAGCTCAGTAGCAGGTCCATAGTTATGTGGTGCGTGTGTGCCCACGCCATTTAACCTGCCTCGTAGTTCAGAAGGCCACTATTGATGTTTCATAGATTCTTTTTAAAATAAGAAAGGTAAGGAAACTAAGGTTTGTAGCAGAACTGAGGTGCCTTTCCTGCTCTTTTGCTTCTCTAAGCTTCGGAGAAGTGCTGGTTTAACAGAACACCAAATTTTAGAATATTCACCTGGTTAGAAATCAGAATATACTGCTGTGGGAATCTGAATTGTTATCCTGTGAAAATGTTAATGCCCATAGCAGTAAAATCAGTACTTCAGATGTAAAACCTGGTTGATCTGAATTTTTCTAATTAAATATAACCTTGGTTGTCCCTTGTAAAACAAGTATAGATGCGGGTCTCACAAGCTTTCCCTAAGCTTGTGAAATGGACATAAAGTTTCCTTTTATTAGTGCTTGGTTGTATATTAAATCAAAAAAGGGTGATGCTGGCTTTTGTCACTTAATATGTGGGCATCTATAGTCATTAATAAAGAGCAACGCTGTAGATAGAAAACAACTGTGGTCATCTGTCTGTGCACTTTTATCCTTCCCTGACTCCAAGGAACACAGGCATACATGATTCCTCTCCATACTTTGTTTAATCCCCACACTGACCCTATGAGGTAGGTCAGACTAAGTGGTAGGAGTTGGCTCACAGTCACTCAGTGAGCTTCATGGCAAAGTAGATATTTGAACTTCAGCCTTTGTAGTCCTAGTATGACCACAAAAGTGAAAGCTAGTAGAAGTTAAGTCTGGACAGGATAGCCAAAGAATTGCATATTAACATAAATCGCTGTGTAGAGGAAAGCATTAAATCTGTGTCATACATTCTCCCCCCATGGAAAATTAGGTGGAGATTCATCCATAATTTTGCTTTTATAAACAGTCTTGGTTTTTTGGTCATAGATGACGTAAAAGTGAGGTGCTGTCATTTGGATTGCATTTCCCAAGCATGCATACTTGGAAGTAATTTATTTTGGATGAGGCTATGAGAATGAGAAGTCTGAACCATTAACCCTTACTTACATATATGGTACCTTGCAACACTCATGATCTCAACAAAAAAGAGTATTTTTTAAATATACAGAAGTTATTTCTGTTCTCGGTTTAGCAAATAGTAGCTTACAAGAGGCGGGACCTGCAATACTCGCAGGGGGGGAGTATTCCCCCAGCGCCTGGCCTGCAGAAGCGGCAGCAGGTGAGCCCAGCCTTCTCCCTCCCCCCTCCCCCCTCAGTGATGGCGGGGAGGCCGGCCCGCCAACCTTTCTCCATCACCTCGCCCTCCCCTTACTTGTCAAGAAGGAGGAAGCCGCCGCAGGTAAGCCTTCTTCCCCAT